CTCGTCTACCCGATCCTCGACACACTCCGGACGGCAGCCGATCGTGTCAGCCGCAATTGTCATTTATCGTCCGGAGGATTTACGGTTCCGTTTACACCGGCGCCGATACCAGACCGTCCCGAAGTTTCGTGCGATTCATCAGCGCGCGATCGCTCGTATATCCTCGCTCAGGACAGCGTAGCACCGCTGCTGCTTGCTTACCGCGTACCACCTTTTACCGGGCCGGGTATCTCCGGTTGCGTCGCGCGAGTACCGCGCGCGTCCGCTCCGAAGGAAGCCGCCCTTCGAACACCCTAACATCGTCTGCGATTTTCTGTCATTTTTTATTTGCGCCGAATACTTGCCTGCTACTCGCTCGCGTGCTCGAAGCAGCAAGATTTCGAAATGGGACGTGTTTATTCCTGATTCGACGAAACTCTTTTCATTCGTTTCTATAGAAGGATGAGTCGTTAGCGAAGGAGGAATTATTACGAAGGACAAGTTCGCGTGAAAAGATCCTTTGTGCGGTGGCATTTCGCGACGGGCAACCATCAGACGCGAGCAACAGGTTGACGGTTACGCGTGACACATTAATTAAGGTTCGCCGATTTACATCGGCAATCAGCCAATCGTGGCTTGTAATCGAGATGTAATTACCACCGTGTACAGACGACGTCGATCTTCTTATTCCCTATCGCGTTGCTCCTGTTCGTGTTAGCTCTCGCTTGGATGAATTATACCTATCGTATGGATAGAAACGTATCAAGAACTAATAACAAAAAACGGTGTAAATCATCTCGAGTCATTTGTAATCGAACACACCATCGTTGTCGGAACATCGATTATATGTATAAATCACCGTTCGAGAAGTGGATCAAGACGAAGGAAGAGGAGGAGGAGGAGGTCGAACTTGTTGGCACGGAAATAAGAGAAGCCGAGATACCGAGCGCGAGGACGATAAATTTCCGTGGAATTCTAGCAAACAGAAGAGTCAACGATACGGTTTCGAGAAAATAAAGGCTCCGAGAGAGGCAGGAGGGCAACTTTCCTGAGATTCTTACGTCCGGTTATGTCGTAATTGTTTAATTCCCGACGAGGCTGCAGCGGGTCAGATGAAAGGCGACAGATAGGGCTTCCACCGCGTCGTGGTCGTTTTATGGATGAGCGGGAGAGAAAGGAGAGTCTCTGAAATGCACGTAGGCAGACGTCTCATTAACGAAGCTCGAGGCCCAGGTAACAGCGACTGGTTACGAGTGAGCATTTACACGTGGCAACGTGTTACACGGATATTATGCTAACTCTTATCTGCGCTTGGCATGTGGTCAGAGAAACTCTCGAAGACGCAGCACAATTCGCGGCCAATGCATTTCGCGGAAGCGTTCTAAGAAACAGGACTTGTAAACGTCTCGGTAGGGAGGAATTATCGGGATCGTTTGCCGAGCTCGGGCGTGATTTTACATTTCACAGCATAGTATTACGAGGCCAAAGGCTTTCGAGCATCTCTGGAATTCGCGTACGTAGATACACATTAGATCGGTTAAAGATCGAATTTGAGATACGAGGGTGGATAGAAACTCCTATCGCTTCTTGCGTATGACGCGACGTGTCTGGATCAAGAACGAAAAGAAAAAAAAATGAGAACGAATGAGAAATTCTTAGAAGCAGGGTACAACGTCCTAGCTGGAAGTATTCGAGGCCCACGCCACGGTAAGACGTCGTTGGATCGAGTGGCACGAAGAGCACCATGACCTAGAACCATGAATCACACGACGGCCGAGGAACTTGAAGATCTGCCGGTTACCTCGGGGTACACAACACCGTCTTATCCGCAATGATCTTCTTCGTACGGTGAGTTTCAAGAAATGTACCGGCCCGGCTGAGCGAGCAGCCCGTAACACCTGATTTTTTTCTTATCTGAACGAATTAAGAACAGGCCGATGAAGACGGACCCGTTTCGAGTACGTTCCGTGGAAGTGATACTCTTCGGCACGGAGCAAAGGGGCCGACCGTAGCCGAGCGAGGGTGTTAAAATCCTCGTTATGGGAGTGCAAAGGGCCGTGAGTAAGTTCAACGACCAACCGGATTCATGATCCCATTCCGGACCGTAGTATCAGATTCTTGGAAGACTCGTTCTCCGCGTCCTTACGATCGTCCCTTCGGCATGAAAATCTGTTAGAAATTCGACCTTTTCTCACGCTCGCGAACTTGCCGCCGTTTCCACGAGATAAATCCGCGCGAATTACGGTGGCTAATCGGTAGAGAACAAGCGATCTCGAGACAAGACTGGTACGATCGGTGCAAAGGGGTGGCGTGACGAAATCTAGATAACCGACGAATAAATTGATTCGTTAATTGCTTGAGAATTAGCCGAGGAGGTTGAAACGGTTCCGATGAAGGTTTCGATACAGCGTTTAAGGAAAGCCATCGGTTCGATGCTCACCGTGTACGAAGTCACGCATCGTTGGTCAGAATATCGAGAAGGAACAGGTCTCGGTGGAATAAATTCATTTTCAAACCCGGCATCATCGATGGCATCACCGGTTATTGAGAATTATTTTGAAAATCGTTCCAACCTCGTATCTCAACGGATACAAATAAGCAGGGTGAAAAAGGAAGAGAATTAGAACGAGGTGGAAGGATCTGCCTACGCCCACGCGGCTCATCCACAACCCCCGCGAGCTGGCTGGCACGGAATTGCTTGTTCCCCTCTCGATAAGCCTGCCGTTCCATCGGTCACGTCTTAATCGACGCGCGGGCTCTCCGACAGCCGCGGTTGGGGGTCGAGCATCGATGTAACCGAATCGTTCGTCGAACCGTGCGTTGCCTGTTGCTCTGCCGCTCGTGGCACTCGTGGAGAACGAACGAAACGAGAGAGAAAGGTATTTAAGAAACGCTCGGATACACAGACCGGGCCAAAGGGCAAGGTCTCTCCTCTTCGCTTCTACACCGATCGGCCATCACCGGTGAACGCGTACTACGCGACGACCACCTGCGTGCACTCGATTAGACCGGTCCCTTAATTGACACGGTTGCTTCTATTAAGCTTTCAAGGGGAAAGCAATCGGCGGAGTGGATTAATTGCCATGCTGGTTACGATAAATCATTAACGAAATTGTTGAACGTATACAAGTGTCACGGTATTGGATGCATTAAGAGATCCGTTTTCTTCTTTTTCAAGTACTTGCAAGGATTCATCGACGAAGAGTACCCTGGCAAATTAATTCGTCAGACCATTTCACAGGAGCACAAACAAAGGAAGATGATTTAATTGAAACGATATAGACGAGATTCTCTAAAGCGAATGATAAATAGCAGATGCGAGATCACCGCGACGAATCGCGTAAGGATCTTCCTGACGGTGTCGATTAACCGATCGACGATCGAGCCTTCGCTCGGTACTGTTGTATAGAAGCGTGTACACGCTGAATTAATAGGACCGCCTCGACGGTGCCGGTTCGTTTCGGTACACATTTATCGAGAATTATCCACGCGATTGCTTGGACGATAAAGTTTTTTGTCCCTGGGGGGGATCGTAGTCGTCGTACTTCATTCTTGTTGGCCGCGGACCGAGGAAGTCTTGGCGAACGGTCCGTGGTCGTATATTTTCTCGCCGGATAAGCGTGGGCCCACTCTGGACCACTTATCGCGCCCCACCGGCTCGTATTATTTAATTAATGAATACTCAATCGGCGTCGATTGACACGCGGCGATAACTGTTATTACGATTTTTACACGCACAGGTGGCGAGGAATACGTGTCGCACCGATATACCGCGATAACTCATGCGCCCTACAAATGGAATCGTGGGACCACTTAGCCCGAGAATTCTTCGAGACGTTCGGTCCACGGCGACCTAATGATTCCTCGAACTCAATTTTCCGATACTTTTCACTCGAGATTGCGTTGAACCTGGCCGTGTGTAGTGACGGAACGTTTTAGAGCAGCTACTCACTAATCGTGAGAGGTGTCAGCGCGTGAAAGGTGGTCGAAGACGAAGACGGTTAATGGCGTTCTTCTTAGTCGCGACTTTTTCGTTGCTTATCTTCTTGGAGACGTTTCAATTAGTCCCAGAGATGTGTACAGGTTTCAGTGTTGTTTATGTTACACGGTAGAACTTTGATTACCCGAACTAGTGGGTTGCTTGGAATGATAATAATTAAGAACCTTAACCCTTCACCGGCATACCGGATCGTTGAGTTTCAGGTGAAATTCTCATTTTTCAGAACTTGTCTTCGATTTTTGTCACTTGTATGCTAAATTAAAGGCTTTAATAAATATCCCACAATATTTTCTGATTTTTTGAAAGTCTAGAACGATATAAAATCAAGCCTGAAAATAAAAGACACACTAGTGAAAAAGAACATTGCCATCAGAGGATTAAATACCCGAAATTATTTGCGCGCAAAATTATTGCGTTTATGAAAACAAATTGTCTTGAAAGATGCCCACTCAACAGCCATTGAACGCGATAACAAACGATTTAAAGTCTGTTGCTCATCAAGTGAATTTTATTAACGATCCCGTGGATCCGAACGGTGGATTTCGTACCCGTGGAGTGATTCATTACAAATCCATCGACAGTTTCGACGTGCGCCTCGTAAAATCGATATTCCCCCTTCCGGTCGTTCCCTTCGCCAGGATTTCAACCCTCTGGCAGCACGGTGAAATAATAATCGACACCCGTGGGGCGGGGCAGAAGGGCGGCGCTCGCGTGTGACTCGCGTTAATTAAGCGCGATCATTAGCATTTAAATCGCTTTTTAATTGCAAACGCCGGTGTTATCCGGGCCGCATCCCGAGCAATCGGGAGTCTTACGTTCTATACCTACTGCCGAAGCACGATCTCGAAGGATTTCGAGTGGCGTACGACTCGAAACCGGCCATCGCTCGATTATTTATGATTCACTACGAGATATTAAGTACCGTGGGACTCGGACGGCTCCGTAGAAACTAATCCCCCTCCGTGTATCACCTTTTCCTCTCGCATCCCATTTCTCTCTCGTTCTGTCCTCTTTCACTTACCTTTCCAGCCTTTCGTTTCGCTCGGTTCTCTCTTCACGCCGACCGAATCCGATCCGTCTGACGTCGCGAGACCTTGATGACAAATTCAAGTATCTCGGATAGAGTCGGCAGGTGCTTTAAACGCACCTTCAACAGATTCGACGTTCCCTAAAGAAAAAAAAAAAAAATAGAAAAACTTTCGAAATCGTGCCGTGACGTAACCGCGTATAATACAGTCGTTTTAATTCATGAATTCTGACGTTGAATTCCCGGTTTCGCGCGCGCCACCACCAGCCCCACGTGCGATCTCCGATTCATTAGGCGAGGGAAGGCCAAAATATTCCGCGGATCGGCTGATATTCCAATCATCCTTCTGGCGAACGTAAAGTGCGTACGTGCGTAACGATCAATGGATTTTCTCGAGCGGCTAATTAATAGCCAACGAGCAAAGCACCCCGGCTTTCTTGCGGACGGCCTCTATTATCCGCGGTCTCGGCACGGATTAACGCGTGCGAACTTTTTTGCAGCCTCCGACGTAGACCAATCCCTTTCACCGTGCAGATTAAACGCACCTGTCGCTATTTCCACTTTCCAGGGAACACTTTGTTATCGCCACCGTTCGATCCGCTCGACTTTTTCTTTTTATTATCCCTCCGTATGTGCGTCTGCAGGCCGCGTAATTAAATGCGAACAAGCCGAAACGAACGAGCTTTTTAATTGATCAATGGGAGGTTTAATTGAAACGCGAGTAAGATTTGCGCGATAAGCGGAAAACGATCGAGACGTGGACGATTTTCGTGTAATAATGAATGATAATTTTTCAAGTCAGAATTTCACGCCCAATTGCGATTTCGCGTTTAATTAAAATTAAACTTACTTGGTTTTTCACTATTCGATTTAACGCTGCATTTCGCTGATCGCGAACTCATCCGCTGATGAGTTTAACTATTTTACATAGCATTTTTCCTAAAATTGCTCGTAGCCCGTTTCGCGAAAATTAATTTTGCGTAATGCTGGTAACTTGCCGCGAACGGACGAGTTAACGCTGCGATAATAATTCCCGCCGGCCGGTTCGCGTTTACACAGGTGCATCGAGCGCGAACGTGACTCGGCGATGCTTCTGCATACGGCTGTCCAGTAGCTAGGATAGAAGTACGCCTATATATTTACGACAGACATTAATCGAGACAACGAAAACGACCGTCTCAGAATTTTAGCGCGATTTTATAACGCCGCTAGATTCAATTAGTACGCTTCCATTCCACCTTTCGTTGCGCGCCACAACGCAACGATAGAAGATAAAGTCGCGAGCGGGTATCATGATTCTCAGAAACGCGCGCCAATTATACGCTCGATCGCTAATGAAATCGTTGCGACTATTAATTCGCAGTTACGAGGACGCAAGACGTTCGACGCGTCGCGACGGGTGTGCGGTTTCTATGGAAAGTTCCCGGAATGAGTTTCCTTTTTTTTCTGAAGAACTAATCACGTTCTCTAGTCGCTAACGCGTGAAATTGTCGCCTTCGTATACTACATACTAAGTTTCTATCGTTTTCGTGTAAAGACGTTGCTTTTCGAAGAGGAAAGAACCCATCTGTTCTTCGTCAAACATGCGTATACCGTCGATCCAGCCGCGTTACGCAAATATCCGGCGAAGCAACAAACAATTTCGTCGTCGTGGAAAAAGGAATACGTCCGCGGTTACTGGCCGATGAAAAAATCGCTACGCGGAGGAATTAGAATCGATGAAACAGCGTCTGTGCCGGGGAAACCGCAGCGTTCCCCGTGGAGTCGAGCAAAAAGGCACGCGAACACGATTGCCTGCGGAGAGGATCGAGATCATCGAGCGATCGTAAAACGATGAAAAGTCGAGAAGAGGCGCGCATAGAACCGGAACGCCCAGTCGATCGAATTGGCGCACCGTCGCGGATGCAAAAAGATTGGATCGCGTCGGAGGCCGTTGGTGTATAATAAACGCGAAGGGCGAGACCGGAAGACACGTTTGCTTCGCGACCGACAAAGTGTACATTGCTCCTCGTGAAAAAAAAGAAGAAAAGAAAAAACGAATCCCGGGATGTGAAAAAGGAACGCGGCAGTTATTAACGAAGCATCCTCCTGAATAGATCGGTCAAATTAGCGTATCGTTCGATGCTCGATCTTGCGTGGTGCGGAGTCGCAACGTAATTACCAGACGAGATTTTGCGACGACTCATCGTTTCGATGTTTACCGAGCTGCATAAAGGATGCTCTATATTATCCGTCCAGACACGGAACAATTACCGAACGGTTCCGCTCAGAGAGATATTTAGGTTGTCGTTCCAAAACGACGAAGAAAGGGACAAGGCTGCCGCGAATTCTATCTACAACGCGAGGAGATCGAGTACCGTGTACCAGAAGAGAACTTTCTGCGCTCGGGTAACACGAGATAATCGCGATATTTGCTAGCAGCGAGTATCAATCAAACCTGCCGGCGCGCCACAGGATCTCCGTCTTCGTATTAAGACGGTTTTCAACTTCTAAACGTCCGGTACCAGTTTACGACGCTTGTTATACCGCGCAACAAAGTACGTAATGAGCGGCTAAGTGAACGGTTCGGAACAGAAATCATCGATCCGAGCGTTCGTGGAAGCCGAGGCGGAGCAACCGTGAGTTAGCGTTGTCTCGAAAAAGGAGAAACGATCTCTGAAATCGAACGACCGAGCGTATGGGGTCTTGATCACGGTATTTATGCGACAGGATTATCGTGGCGGCCGTATCTATTACCGTCGGCGCCTACTTATTCTCCCTTCCTCTCGGCCACGGGAAATCCGTAAATGCGAAGGCCGATCGAACACCAATTTCTTAACTAGCCCGTGTCGACGGGGTATCGACCAGGCGAATTTCGCGGATCGATCGGTTTTACGAGCGCCATTAAAACGAACCTAATATTCACTAGTTTGAAATGAGCAGCTACCGTTAGATCGTTCGAGTTACGATGGAAACGCTCCTACGGCCAATAGAACGATAATCAGGAAATTTTCTTGACTATTATCAATTGGACATCCATGATTTATCCTAGCGTTGCTGTGTTCATCTTTCTTTGACCGAGTACCGGTTGGAGAACGCATAAAACAAGCGATTTTTTAATTTGTGTTGTAATCGTACAATCGAGGACTCGCCTGTTCTTTGATTCCGGGTTAAAATATTGGGTCGCTAGATCGGCGAGAAGAGTGGAAACGCTATTAAAACACTCTCGCGCGACCCGAGTTTCCAATATCGTGTCTACACCTGTTCTCTCTCTATCCGGCTTCGTTAAATTCGATATTTCACAATCCGCACGCGCCTTTCCCGCGGCGCCGCGCGCCGTGCCGTGCCGAGCCGTGCTCCGTGTGGACGCACGTGCGTCGATGCCGCAATGCGGCCAACCAACGGACACGAAGGACCCACCACTCTACGCAACGTCGCGGATAATCAACGGCAGGATACGAATACCTTGAAGCGGTGAAAAAACTTCGCCGATACCTATCTCGCGACTAAATTGAGGCAATTTTCTATTGGTCGAACCGAACGGACCGTTTTATCAGGATTAATATTTCAACCGACTTGTTCGAGATCTTTTTTTCATTTTTTCTTGTTCCCCGCTGTCGTTTCAATGTGTCCCATGGTTGCGCCTGCCACGACCACCAGAATCGTTATGAATTGCGCGCTAATTCACTCGGAAGGGTGCCGCAAAGATCTTTGATTCTTGGAATGCAGTTTTAGATAACTTGATTCTTTTAGTTGCAGGAAACTTGCTATACTTTCATCAATTTTCCAAGTTTTTGCCGAAGAATCTATGTTCCATTGGAGAGAGAGGAAGCAGATGCGTCGCCGACCTTACGGACGGATTCTTGATATCTATGTAAGAGCATGGTCTTAGGAAGACTCCGAAGACCAAGGAAATAATTTCTAGGTTCTAATTCTATCTATCTAATGGTACCGAGGCCCAAAAATCAAAGTTCTTCTCGAAACAGAGTAAGTAGAGTCTAAGTACCGTGCGTCGCTGAAGTTTCGGCGATGGATTCTGGTGATGCGTGACGATAAACAGGGATAGGCTGCACTCCCGTTAATAAACAACGGGAATCCATTATAGGAAACACCTTGGAGCACAATGTACTTAATGGGCGTAACGACTCAACGATGGCCAGACACGCACACGCGTGTCCCTGCTGGTGCACTCGCGTGTGTCGTAACATGGGCACCGTGCAAGGGCATGTATGGTAGTTTGTGCACCTTATGCTCACTCTCGCCGCATATCTACACAACATCGTACCACGCCACATACCGGGTGACTGTTAGTTCCTTTTTTTCTCCTGAAAGATGCCAGCCACCGATAACGGGCACTAATTGCTGTTGCTTGATCCGGCGCCCAGTCCCATCCAGTTTCATTTAGATTAATTGCGTGCCGTTTAACGAGAATTCTAAGCGATTATCCAGTGATACCATAAAAATACCAGTTTACCTATCGTAAAACCAACTATGATCACGCTTGTGAAGATTGCTGTTTTTATTTTCAAAATGGCTATAGAATATTTTATAAGGAGCTACGTTCAAAAGTGTATGAATAAAATAACAATTTTGAGAAAATAGCTTGAAGTTTCATTTTATTATCAATTAACTGATATTGAAATTGAATCCTTCGAAAGCGAAATGATTGAAAGTAACGCGTTCTAGGACAATCAATTAAAAATTAATGACAAATTAATTTATTTTATGTTTATTAATATTTCGCTAGCGTTTTCGGCGAGAGCGTAAAACATAAAGAGTATAATAAGATTCGCGTTAGAACACCCGTTAGAAGAACCTCTTAATTCTTACGGTACGCGGGTTAGGTGTATCTACCTGTCCAAGGCCCCTCCCAGCTCACCTGTAGTGAAAAAGGGTCAATAGCACAAGCGACGGCGCACCGCGAAAGTCTGGACCGGGATGCTGCTTCGAAAGGTCGCTCCGGAGGGTGAACACCGCTGGACAATACTTTCCCAGATCCGTCGCTAGCTGAGGAATAATTAAAATAAAAAGGATACAAAGTACGCAAAGACAGAAATCTAATCGGGAAATGGTGCGCGCTACGTATAACGAGCAACGTGACTTGATCCTCCTCGTCGACGTCATTCTCGTGATTTTCAAGAGTGTGCACTCGAGGAGGGAAACGGGTAAGAAGGAAGGGGTCGAAAGTTTTTCGAGATGACACGGCACGATAATCCGACGCGATGGAACTGTGGGAAAAGGTGAAATCCGAAATTAATGATATTCATGGGCCACGTAACAGGCCGACATTGTAGAAAATTAAACCTTCTGTTTGTGATGAGCTTGAATTACCATAAACATCGAACTACCTCTTTCCCCCATTTCAGAAATGTTCTCTAAGAACGTTCCTCTATGCCGCATCCTAGATCCTCGGCTTTTCTTAACAGATTCGATTCTACGTGAAAGAATTCCAACTATAAATACATATATTGTTCGCAATACAATTAATTCCTGTAAAAAAACGTAACGATACCAGGCATTCTGGGTCGATGCGAATCGGGTCGTTAAACAGAGGGAGGAATGCTGCGAAGAATGTAAGCGGTTTGTTAATCGCAGTTGCGAGCATTGTTTACATTCTAATTATAACTCTAATGCTGTTCAACAAATATCTTCAATGTAGGTAATGAAACATGGAATAAATGTTAACAAATGACCATCAATTGTATATAAAAGTAATCCACCGACTACTCGATTCCTTTCCTCGTTACCGTTTTACCGTTTCCTAGATCCTAAAAGAGTCCTGGTCAGCGGAGGACCCGGGAAGCGTGGAATCTTCATCTCTTCTTACCCGTCGTAAAGATCCGACGATTCTGGACAAGTGTACACCTACGTACTTTCTCTTAACGATCGTTTCGCATACTCGTCGAGAAACCAGTCTAACCTAACGGCGGGTCGCGCGAGAACCTAATAACAAGGCGAGATGAACGGGAAGAGAGAAGCCTAAGGAGAAACGTTAAATCCAACCCGTGGGATTATAAAAGGTCGTCGTTTAGGGTTTATGGAGAGAAACATAACGGAATCGCGTTGGAACGCGGTGTCGAAGTACCGAAAGTAACGCGGCGAGTGGTACACAGAACGGTGCAAGCCTTCTCTAACGGCATCCTCTACCTTGCAGCAAAGTCCTGACGAAAAGGAAGAAGAAGAGGATGAGGAACCCGAGCCAGCGATACTCACCCTCGTCGATACTAATTCGACTGTTCGTAGACGTGGCTGACGTTAACACGGTTTCATTTGATCGAGACAACCATCCTTATTCCTCGTCATCCACGAAGAGCGAGATGGTATCGATGTTGGTATCCTTGAACCAGTGGAAGAAGAGAAGGTGGTAGGTGCGTGCAGCCCGCAGCGAGAAAACCTGCGTTATAACGAACGCGCGTTCCATCTTGATTTCTTCGGCTCCTTTCACTTTCGACAGTCGCTTCGGTTCTGTCCGTGGCTAAAGACATCGCGAAGAGGAGCGATGAAACGGAGCCGAGGGCAGAGAAGAAACAAGCGTGCAACGAGCTGGCTTTCTTGAAATCGCCGACTAAACGTCGGAAGTAGTAAAACGGGGATGGGGATGTTGGTTACCTGCGCGCTAGGACGTAGAATCGAATGGGCGAGGTGGAAAACGAATTTGCGCGAAGAGGATCGATCGAACCGCCAAACGAGAATCCTCACGATATCGATTCGTCTCGGTTTGAATTCAATTCGCCGCTTCCGTTTCGTGCGTGACCGTCGTGAAGTACAATTCGACGCGCTCGTTAAAATTATCTCATTAGAAGTCGAACGTTCATTCGATCATCGAAGAGGCACAGCTCGATCCTCGCAGACAAACCCGACCATGGTTGGACCACACAAAATTTGCATATGTAACGCCCTTATGTTGGTGCACTCTTCAATAGAGGTTTGTATTCAAACTCTGTTCAATGCCAGCAAAAACTAGGTCATCTTGCAATTACCAGTCCGATAGAATATGTAATTTTCAATCAAAATTCATTGATCTATTTACATTTCCT